GGGGGGGGGGGGGAGCTGGCAGCCAGGACTCCGGGGTTCTCTCCGGCTCTGGGAGGGCAGTGGGGTCTAGTGGTTAGAGCGGGGGGGCCGTGCTTAGACCCGCTGCTCATGTGCCTCTCGCTGCCGTTGCAGGGCGAGGAGACGAAGCTCTCCCGACTCTTCCTCCTGAACGTGCTGCTTAGCAGTGTCTTTGTCTATAACACCAGGAGTGAGGGCGACCCCCAGAGGCAGCTCGACCGCCTGACGTATCCTTCCCAGCACGGCCCCCACCCTGCTCTGGGGCCGGATCAGGGCCGGCGCCCCTGACGGGGAAAGGCCTCGTGTCCCATTCCCTGCCCCTCTGTGCCAGCTGGTCCCCCCACTTTGAGGCTGGATCAGGGCCGGCGCCCCCTGGAGGGGAAAGGCCTCCTCTCCCGTTCTCTACCCCCCTGAGCCAGCCAGTCCCTGCCCTGCGGTCAGATGGGAGCCGGCGCCCCCTAGAGGGGAAAGGCCCTGGGCCTCATTCCCCGTCGTCCCCCCACAGCCAGTTCCCTGCCCTGGGGCCGGATGGGAGCTGGTGACCCAGAGGGAAAAGGCCCCATGTCCCATTCGCCCCACCCTGCTCCACCCCCGCCTAGTTCGGTTCCCGTCGCTCGGCCCTCTCTTTTCCTTCACGGCGCCCCCTGCAGGTACGTGAGGGATCTGCCCCGGGTGGTGCGAGTGCTGGACGAGTGCTCCTGGGAGAATAGCTTCCTCCTGAGCAGCGTGTTGCCCGACTTCGTGTGGTGCCTGCGGGACGTGGCGCCCGACCCCTGCCTGGACGAGGTGCTGGAAGCCACGGACCACGAGCTGGACTCGGCTCTCAGCTCCCCGCAAGGTGCATGGCCATCGGGGCCCTTCCCCCAGGGGAGAGGAACCCCGGCGTCCGGGCTGGTCCCCAGCCCAGCTCAGGTTCCATCCTGTCTCCCCAACTCACTCCTGCCATCTCAGAGGGGTACAGGAGCCTGCTTCATTTCCTGTCCTAAACGAGCACTGGTGTGAAACAGCCTCCGCGCCCTGCCCCAGAGGTGACTGCATCTCCATGATGCACGAGGGGTCCATGTATCAACAGCTTTCGTGCCCTGCCCCAGAGCGGCCACATCTCTGCCCTCAGCGTCCCCTGCCACTCGGTGTGACCCCAGGGTTCACCCGCCACCCCCCTTTCTCTCGCAGATTCGGAGGACTCCCCGTCCAGCTGCGTACAGAGATTATTCCCTTGCCGGAAGCTGTTCCATTTCTGCTCCCCCCGAGCAGATGGAGGGCACGGCGAGCCGCCGTCTCCCGCAGACCAGCTGCACCCCATGTTCCAGGAGCAGATGGGGCGTTTTAAGGACTACGCCTTGAGCCGGAGCCCGAAGACCGTGGTGGGGAACAGAGTGGTTGATGGGGCGTGTAAGTGTCTGGTTGGGGGTGGGTGGGCAGCCTGTGGGGTGTCTGTACAGCGCCTAGCGCAATGAGATCATGGGCCCAGACCGGGAGGCCTCAGTGCTACCGTAAGACACCTAATAAATAGCAATCCTAGCGTATAGCGCCTAGCGCAAACAGGTCGTGTGCCAGGACCAGGGCGTCTGGGCACTACCATAATACACCCAATAAATAGCAGTGATAATTCTAGGTGAAAAGTCAGGAACCTGGGTACTGCTGGACAAATTTGTTTGGTGACAAATGCAGATTTGGCAGCCGAGACATTTCCCCTGAGTTCCCGTTGCTTTCTCCATATTGTTGGTGTGGGGGGAAAAACCCCAAACTTCCCCAAATGGCAGAAGTCTGGTTTTTGGTTCAAAACAACTTTCCATTTTGAGATTTCCTATTTTATTTCAACCGAAAAACTGCCCCCGAAGGCTGGGGCTCTCGGGGTGTCGGTGGAATGTCAGGATTTGGGCTTTTCAATTGGCTGGAAGTTCTGAGCAGTTTTATTCTTTCGTTCGATCCGAAACAATTTGCGTTTTTGGGAATTGCCAGGACCCGAGAGCCCGTCAGTCGCCCAGTTCTGGCCCCGGCCTCGGGCTGGAAAATCACCCGCCTCGATGGCTGGGAACGAGGAGCTCAGCTGCCTGTAACGATGATGATCCCTGGCTCTTCTCTAGTGCTTCCCAGCCATCCATCTCCAAGGGGTCAGCACCATTGTCCCCCTTGTACAGCAGGGGAAACTGAGGCACAAAGCAGGGCCGTGACTTGCCTCCAGCAGGCCAGCGCAGAGCCCGGCCGGAACCCAGGAGTCCTAGCCCACCCTGCAGCAGCAGCACACACCTCAGTACCTGAGCCAGACCAGGGCGGAGGGGGAGGGGGTGACTGGACAGGAGCCCCCAGCCCACCGAATCCTGCTCTGTCCTCTCTCTCCAGTCCTGGCTGATTTCCTGGAGCGCGTCGTGGACCTGCTGTCCCGGGACGAGCCCGTTCTCTTGAGTGAGCTCTGCAGTGACCTGCAGGTGAGGGAGGGGCTGGGCGGAAGCGGGCTGGGCGCTGGGAGATGCAGAGGGGCTCATGGGGGGTGGGACGGGGTCCCATGGGATCTGTGCGGTGGGTGGGGGCTGGGCTCTGGGAGATGCAATGGAGCTCTCGTGGGGATGGGGGAGGGGATCCCTTGGGATCTGTGCGGTGGGGGGAAGGGAGCTGGGGGAAGCAGAGGGGCTCATGCGGGGGCAGGGCGGGGGTCCCTTGGGATCTGTGCAGTGGGTGGGGGCAGGGAAGGCTCCAGTTAACAGGGGGGTTTCTGCTCCCAGCAGGAAGGCAGCGATTACTCCGTGGGGTACCCAATGGACCCCATGGGGGGTGCCCCACCCAGGAGAGCAGCAGTCAGGACTGCCCAGCCCTCGGTGCCGGAGCCCAAGGTCAGTTGGGGGCAGCCCCAGGGACTGCGGGGAAGGGGCTGCAGGGGCGTGTGTGGGGGGGCTGTTCCTGGTCCCAGCTCGGCTTACAGAGAGCTGGGGCTTGGGCCGTATTGGGGGCGGCGGGGCTTCCTGCTCGGAACTGGGCTGAGACCCAGCAACTCATGTCACACTCAGAACCACTTATAGCCATGGAGCATTGTAGCTAGGTGGGAGCTGGTGCCCCCTAGTGGGGCAGGGCCCCGTGTCCCATTCCCCGCCCCCCTGA